AGCCTTTTCACCTGTACATTCCCAAGTGGCAACTTCCACCCAGAAGACCAAAAAGATCCTCAGAGTGTCCTCTATGGGACCCTTCTCAAACGAGGCCTCCCAAACTGTCTCATCTTCAGTAAGCCTATTCCTCTTCTCCAAATGCTACTAGATGCAGACGTGAGCAATACAATCATATCTCTCACGGCTAAGTGTATGGGACAGCCCCTCACCTCCTGCGATGGTAAAGGCCAAAGCCTCAGTAGGAAACAAGTGATAATCCACCAGGGACACCCGGGGATGATGACTGCCCCTTTACCTTTTGAACAGTGATTTGGGGTCCCATAACAAACAACATTTCATGGCCTCTTAAATCTCATGGCCCAAGTGAAACTGATTCCCAGTTCTTCTTACCAAATTCATGGTGTCTGGATTGACAGCGTGACAGTGGGGGGCAGTCTGATTAGGTATTAAGATCACCCTACTACTCATCTTTTTGGCCCAGGCCCCCATGGTCAAGGTACCAACCTCAGCCATCCCCTTCCTGATCACTGACATAGACATTCTGACACACAATTATGCCAGTGGAATAAACCTATGCCTTCTGCCTTAACTGTCAGTAAGGCCCAATCATCTTCAGTCAGCTTGCCCAATCCCTTATGAGTGACAAATACTCCCCAGTATTGACTGCAACAATAGATGAAGGGCATAAATCCCATCATCCGGGATATGTTACAAGAAGGTGTCCTGGTTCCTTCAGTTTTCCCTTTTAATTCTCCAATATGGCCTATCTTCAAGAAAGGGGGAAAGGAATAGCATCTAACTACTGACTATCACAATTTAAAAAGGTAATTCACCCCATTAAGCTACCACTGCCTAATACTGTGCCCACCTTGGATGCCGTTCAAAACTTCTGGCTAACATGTTTTACTCTGCGCCCATTGCCCCTGAAGACCAATTCCAATTTGCCTTCACCTTCAAGGTCCAACAATACACCTTCACCTGGCTCCTCATGGGATACCTTAATAGTCTGGCCATTGCCCATGTCCTGTGCTGACAACTTTAGAAGGTCTCTCTCTGCCTGATGGTGTCTGCCTTTGGCACCATGTTGATGACAGTTTATTGGCCAGACTCACCGAAGAGACCATTCAGACACTGTTCACCATCACCACCAACTGCTTCAGATGAGTCATCGCCCTCGCCCAATAAGATCCAGGGTCCTGCCCAAACTTTCAAGTTCTAGGGTACATCTGGAAGAGAGAAGGGTGGCACATCCCCTAGCCAACATGAAACAAGCTCCTCATCCTTCATTTACCCACCAATGTCAAGGAGGCACAACACTGTATCAGGCTTTTTGGATTTTGGAGGCAGCATATTCCACACCTCTAAATACTGCTGTACACATCTACCAAATCACCTGCAAGTCTGCTGTCTTCTAATGGGGAGCCCCACAGGAGCAAACGCTCAATATAGTTCAACAAGACATTGCCAGTGCTCTGCCATTGGTTCCCAAAGGTTTAGGATTAGAGTTAGAAGTCTCTGAAACTCCTACCTTTGCCTCATGGAGCCTCTGAAAAAAATATTATGGCAAGCGGCTACCCATGGAGTTTTGGTGCCACACCTGGAGGCCACTGCCCAGTACACACCCATAGAATACCAAGTAGCTGAGGCATTCTTACAGGAAAAGATCCCTGGTATTATACACTTATTTCCCCATCATGTCCTAGGTGCAAGAAGACTGTCCTTAGAAGCTCAGTTCTACCTCTGAGGCCTCTTTAGTCAAGTGGAAGTGGTACATCCAAGACCAAGCCAAGCCAAAACCCATGATGTGTCAGTGTTCCACTTGCAGCTCCACTTGGAGCCCCAAGTAGACTAAGCTAATCTCAACAACACACCTCTCTCAAAAGCCGGCCGTATGGGCCTCATACTCCCTATACGAATGCTTTTCTACAACTGGCATCATCAACGCCTTCTCCTTAGGTGGTCCTGTTGTCCCTATATCAAGCCCTTCCCCAGTGGACCTCAGGTCATCTCCTCCTTCCACCACCACTTAAACCTTCACTATACTATACTTTCGGACTGGCCATGACTAAAGATCAGAGGGTGAGGAAGCCAGAAAAGGGCAAGAAACATCTGCCTAGGAGGTAGACCTGGGCAGCGGACAACGGAGAGATCCTTAATCTCAACTTCATAACAGTTACCTGGGTTGGGCACCCACCCTCTTTAATTTATTGCACAAAGCCCCCACCAGCATCACCAATGGAGCTCCTACCATGGCGAGTCCAATGGAGGAACTGCCTAGGTAAGGACACAACTCAAGAGGCTGAACCTATAGCCTCAGGACCAGGAAACAAAGTGTGGATCCTGACTGCAGAGATCACCCTCACCTGGCAACAACAGCCTCACTCCAATGGTAAAATTGTCCAGATTTTGGATGCGTATGAGGTACCTGAAAACACCATGGCTTGGGTCAAGCGTACCTTAGTCTTCAAGGTGATATCTTTGCTTTTGAAC